CGTCCTGAAGGGGCTCCCCGTGACCTGCCAAGTACGGCCTGGCCACTTGGTGTTGAGCAGGGACCGACCGTCCCGGCATTCCTATATGCCTACCACGAAATGTTCTCAGAACCCAGAAATGTTCTAAGAACATGTTTTTTTATAACAGAAGCCCGATGTGATGAAACAAGACAATGTCAGCCAGACATGTTCTAAGAACATTTCCTGCAGACCACAAAAGGTTATTTGAACATTCTTTAGTGGGCCTGTAGGCACGCCAGGACGCTTCGCCACTGCTTGACGGTGGGTAAGGGGGCCCTGGGGGGCGGGCGCGGGCACGGACACCAGGGGCTGCGCTCACCTTTACACCACAGACCTCTTCCTGGGCACCATGGGCTGCACTCACTTCCACATCTGCCTCGGAAGGGGGCCGGCCGCGGCCGCCCCGCCTCCACCTCTTCCTCGCCTCCAGGGGCGCATGGCAGGATCAGGAAGGAGACGGTGGCCTCCTCCTCCACCTCCTCCTCCTCCTCCTCCACCTCCTCCTCCTCCTCGTCCTCCTCCTCCTTTCGTCCTCCTCCTCCTCCTCCTCGTCCTCATCCTCGTCCTCCTCCTCCTCGTCGTCCTCCTCCTCCTCCTCCTCCTCCTCCTCCTCCTCGTCCTCCTCCTCCTCCTCGTCCTCCTCCCTCCCTCCAAAAACCGACCAATGGCCCCCCCCCATTGTGCCCCTCGGCCCGTCCGCCCCCGCCACCCTCCCCCCTCCCCTCGGTGGTCCGCCCTGGGGGGGTCGCCGCGCGGCCCGCGGCCGCTGCCAGCGCGTCCCTCTTGTCCCTCCTCGCTGCTGGGTCCCTCAGTTCGCCCTCCCTTTTCGGTCCCCCCTCGCGTCGCTCTTCCTTTCCTCCGTCGACCCGCTCGTCAGCCCCACCACGAGCGGGCCATTTCCCAACCGTGTAGCCCGCCCCGTACATCTACACGGTGGCGCGGGGGCGGAGGGCAACGGCCGAACCCGCAGGTCGCCAGCCTGAGCCTGAAGAGAGGGAGCGGGAGGGGAAGGAGGAGCGGGAGGAGGAGGAGGAAGAGGAGGACGAGAACGAGGGCGAGGAGGAGGAGGAGGAGGAGGAGGAGGAGGAGAAGGAAGAGGAGGAGGAGGAGGAGGAGGAGGAGGAGGAGGAGGAGGAGGAAGAGGGGGAACAGGCGGATGATGATGAAGAGGAGGAGGAGGAGAAAGAGGAGGAGGAGGAGGAGGAGGAGGAGGAGGAGGAGGAGGCGGAGGCGGAGGCGGAGGCGGAGGTGGAGGAGGAGGAGGAGGTGGAGGAGGAGGAAGAAGAGGAGGAGGAGGGCGAGGAGGAGGAGAAGGAGGAGGAGGAGCAGGGGGAAAAAGAGGAGGACGAGGACGAGGGCGAGAAGGAGGGCTTACGCACCGGCCCTGGGCCCTGGGCCAAGGATGGGCCTGGCCAAGCCTAGGCGAGGCGGCCTGCGCGGCCGCCCGCGGTGCTGCAGCCCCTCGAGGTGGAGGCCCCGCTCCGACCCATCTCCAAGGCGGCGGGCCCGTTCCGAACGACGACGACGACGACGACGACGACGACGACGACGACGACGACGACCACCACGCGCTTCACTCTTCCATTTGATCTGGCCCGCCCGCCCCACGTCCGGGCGCAGCGGCCCCGCCCGCGGGCTCCCCGTGGGCCGCGGCATCCCTGAGGGCGCAGCTGGCGGCAGTGACCACGACGGCGCAGGCGGCAGCCGCGCAGCGGGGGACCCGTGACCACGACGCCGACGGCGACGGCGACGGCGGCGGCGACGCCGTTTACAACGGCGCCGACTCGGACGCTCACAACGCCGACGCTAACGGCGGCGACGCCGACGGCACTGACGACAAGGGCGACGACGAGGGCTCGGCCCCGAGAACTCCGAGCGACCCGAGCAAGAGGCCAGTGACGCTGCCGACAAGGCTGGTACGCCGACGACGCCGACGTAGACAGCAGCGACGAAGACGACGACGCCGCCCACAACGATGACGACAACCCCAGACCTTCGACGCCGCGGTTTGCTCAATACGTGGCCCCCGCACCTCTCGACCCCTTCCAGGCGGGCCAATCACCCTGGGCCAAACTGCTTGACAGTCACGGAGCCCAAAGCGGGCACCCACGCGCCAAGGTCACAGAGCAGAACGGCCGCCCGGATGCCTCCCGACACGCCAGGAGCCCTGGGCGTCGGGCCCCAGAGTCGAGCCCCACGGGCCGCGGGGCTCTGCTATGGGGCGCGCCATGGCCCTCGGCTCCCAGGGGCAGCCGGCCGCGGCGACGAGCAGGCCCCCCGGGAGGCCCAGCGATGGCGAAGAACGCCCGACGGGCCCTCGACCCTCGAACCCCGACGCCCCCGATCCTCACAACGCGCTGGAGGCCTGGGCACGACCAGCGGCGAGGGCGGCGGGGGATCTCGGCGGAGCGAGCAGCGTCGGGCCTATCCGCCATCCCCAGCGGGCCAAGGTTTCCCAGCGCCGCCAGCCTGCCCCCAGCGGAGGTGGAGGCCGCGAGAACCGACGGAGACGGCGTCATCCCCACCTGGGCTCAAGCTACTGTCACCAGGAGCGCTACAATCAACCTGTATCAGAAGGATAGGATGCAAGGGCCTTGGACGCCAATTTCGAAGCTTTTCGAGCGGGGCGCGGCCAACAGTAGCCAAGGACGGACCGAGGAGGCAAGGCTGCAGGCGTACCCTTGGGAACAATGCCTGTTCTTACTGTGCGGGTTGACTGCAGATGCGGAACAACGCCCCTGTTTGGCGGCAGAAGTGCCCAGGTGCACGAAGAGCGCTGCAGGAGCAACCGTGGAAGGACCTGAGGATCAGCGAGCCCCTTCCGAATCAGACGATTCCTTTCTTTCAGCCCCATCCTCCCAACCCGATGCCCGAGAAGCGTCCTCCTGAGAATCTGGGCGGCGGACGCAGGAAGTTGGTGAGCACCCGGAGCGCGAGGTCGGGGCCCCCGCCCGCGCTCTCCTGAGAGTGCGCGCGGGGTGGCGGCGCGGCGGGCTGCGGCGGGGGGCGCGGCGGCGCTGCATCCCGGGCGGGGCGGCCACATGCACGAGAGACACTATGAGAAGGTGGGTGCAGAAGGAACACTGGGCAGGAGAAGGGGGAGGAGGAGGAGGAGGACGACGACGACGAGGAGGAGGAGGAGGAGGAGGACGAGGAGGAGGAGGAGGAGAAGAAGAAGGAGGAGGGTCAGGAGGAGGAGGAGGAAGAGGAGGAGGAGCAGGAGGATTTCTGCAGCAGCGCAAACAGCAGCCCACATGCTACCTCGAGGCAGGGCGAGAGCCTCGGGGCTGAATGAATCGTATTCGTGCGCATTGGCGGGCCGACGTCGGCACCACCCGGGATATCCTGGCCAGCACCGCATCGACAACGAGCACGACCAAATGAAACCCGACCGCGATGCGCACGAGCTCGCGGCATCGAGCAAACGCTGGGACACGGTTGCCCTGCGCAGCTCGCGTGCATCCTCCACCTCCGAGGCCGAGGGGGGGGGAGGCTCAACCGAGGGAGCGGGAATCTCCTCCTCCTCCTTGCACCAGGGCCCCACGGAGACCGTGACTCCGCTCCTCTTTGGGTGGGACCCCGCACAAATCAGCTTCCACGCGTATCGGCGGCCCTGAGCCCCGACGGCGGGAAGAGGCGAACACTGCTGGCGCAGACCACGCACTTGGCCCCCGCCCGTGTAATTATTGCACCGCGAACAGATGAAGACAAAGCTACTGTCGCTGGCGTCGAGAAGCAGCACTATGTGCCCCAATCTCGCGAACGTAGGAGCATCCATGCCACGAGTCCCGACACCAGGGCCTCCTTTGCAGAGGCCAGCGGTTGGCTGGTCGGTCGACCGCGAACCACGAAAACAACTCGCGCACTGCCAGAACCTGCCAGTCCACGCCCAAGCATGACTCGGACCCAGCCCTTCGCTCCGCTGAGCTGGTGCAGGGATCCGTTCCACACTCGGGCCGAAATCCAAGCGAGGCCACAGCGGCATCAACTTCGCAGCGAGGAGCCCCACAGCTCTTGCAACAGCCAAAGAACGCTCTAAATCTTCCACCTGCTCCACGTCGGGCTGGGGATGCAACAAAAGGGCCTTCTTGGCCGATAGATCCACAGCGTGGTTACCTTCGCGCCGGTAGCGCTCCCAGCTATATTCGGCCCCGTCCACGTCGAGATGAGCCTTGACTTTGTGCACGGTGCACTGCTGGGAGAAAGACCTGCGCAACTGGGCGACCCCAGCGTAAGCACGCTTGGGTGAGCACTGCTCGGCCCATGGCATACCGTGGAAATCTACGCAGGCCTTGCAATCCACAAGCAACCCGCACGGACCAGTAGACCATGGCAGCGCTATGGAATAAGCGTGAAACTCGGCCGCCTGAGAAGTCTGCGGGCTCGGCGGCCAAACAGGCCCACGGACACGCACAATCTCGAGACCTGTGTCGCGCTGCCAGAGGGAGAAGGCCCAACCCGCTCTGTCCAACTCCGAAACCACATTCTTACTGCAAGAACGGTCCGTGAAAACACCACCAGGACAAAAAAAAATGTCCAGGGTGGGGTCGACACTCGGCCTATTAACCCACTCGATATCAATACCTCCCGACGGCAAAAGGCCGAGAGAAACTCTCTGATGGGTGCCAGAAGACGCCGAAGCACGCGAGGGTGTCGTCAGCCTCCTCCGCCCACCTCCTCACCTTGACCTTAACCAAGTCCTCCCTCTCGGCCTGCCCAGCCTCGCACTGCCACAATCGATGCCTAAGTGTGTCTGCGGCGTCGAAGCACAGCGGGCACAGCACGGAGGAGAGGAAATACCCTAAGTCGGCTGCGCGCTGCTTAGTGTAAATGGCGTTACAAAACAGGGCCCTCACACAGCCCTTTTGGAAGGGAGTGGGTCGAGAGCTCTGGAGCCAACGCAAAACTTCATCAACACAAGCCCTCCCAGGCAAACCAAGTTTGGCCCCCAGGTCCCACTCCAAACTTCTGATCACAGCCTTCTTCAAAAGTGTTTTGAGGAGCTGAGGCGAAACTGAAGTCAGCACAATATTGTCACCTTGGTCTGTCGTAATCGCAGCAAAAGAATCCATGGACCAAGAAATTCTCTCGCACGATTTCCTCAAAACAGAGACGGGGCCCGAAACGTTTTTCCAGAGGCCCGACTCTCCACGGAACCCCGCCTCCCAAGCTTCTCTGAGCTCGGGCAGAGGAACAGCAAAATAATACAACGCGTGGTGAGAAATCCAAACTTCCTTGGCCCATCGGATAATCGGCGCCACCGCCGCAAGCCAGCACGGCTCCTGGTAAGCCAGCAGCAAACACGTGAGGGAGCGGCCCTTGGCCGATGGTTGAAGCACGGACGCCGCCTGCCTACGGAAGTTCAACAGCTCGAAATCCGTGACCCCATGGATGTCGGCCCCAAACAGGTTACTGGCCATGGATCCAGAAGCAAAAACCCGCCGTGCAACACGGCTCCCGACAATCGGGCGAAGGCGGGCGAGCCTGCCACAGAAGGCCCTTGATTTCTTTCCCCTGGATTTGGCTTTGCTGGACTTACCCCCACGTCGGCGTGGCTTGCCTGCAGCATCGTCAACACCTAAGTTGGCTGCACCAGGCACGAGCGGGCCAGCCAAGCCCCCGAGGCGCGCGCCGAGCTTCTGCCCCAGCATCTTAGAGGAAGCAATGAGGGACCGTTTACCAGGATCGTCCGATACAATCGCGCCAACCTCCTCCGAGAGAATCCTGTGCAGGGATCTCACAGCAGGAGGGAGGCGGGCGAGAATGTACCCCGTCGACCCCGTGGCAGACAATCCGGAATCGTCAATGTACAGCTTGAAATGCACCTGGCGCGGCAGCAGCAGACGGTCCAGAGAGCCGATGGCATACACACGAATGAGAGTAGTGGCGAAACCGCAGCCCGCAAGGAGGAGGAGGAGGAAGAGAAGGAGGAGGAGGCGGAGGAGGAGAATAAATAGGGGGAGGAGGCGGCGGAGGAGGAGGAGGAGAAGGAGGAAGAGGTTGTTGTTGGGGACGGGCCTAAAGCCAGAGCACCTCCTCGTTCAGCCAAAATCGGAGGCCTCCGAGTCTGACTCGAAACCGCAGTCCGAGGCTCGGAGGGAGGCGGCCCCTAGGTCCTTGACCCAGGATAAATCCGACTCGGACAGGCCGAACGAATCCAACACCTGCTCTCGCGGGGCGAAGCCCTCCGCGGAGCCGACATTCACAGGACCTGAAACTCCCTGGGGGGCCTGGCCATCCTCTACCAGCGACTGAGCCAAGACCCTCTGCTCGGCGAGGCTCAGGCTCTCATGAGCCCCCAGAGTCAAATTCTTCAGGTCCTTCTTATACGAGGGAAACTTGCCCTGCCGAATCCTTCTCAGCTGGTCATTAATTCCACCCGTCGTGAGTTTGGGCCTGCACAGGCCTTTAGCTCCAGCATTGGGAGCCCCAGAGAAAAACGATCCGCACCGACAACAAAATTGGATCCTACCCCTGGGGTTTCCAGGAGGTTCAATGACAGGGCTGGCCAAAAAAGCATGGCCGTTGGCCCGAAACACTTGCCGAGAGAATGAACGCCACTCCTCCCCCAAGTCCGAAGAACCTCCCACCTCCCTTTGATCGTCGCCCAGGGCCTGGCCGAGGGCCTCAGCCTCTTGTGAGTGCTGCCCCTGGCCATCGCTGCCTGTCGACCTGGGCACTAGGCCTGTAGTGTCACGGGGCCCGTTGGACATCAGTACCTCCACCGATCCAGCCCACCTGCAGGCCTCGCGGGCGAGGCACCTGAGGCCTCTGTACAGGCTGGCCTCTTCGTCGCTGACCCCGTGACACTCGGCTCCTAGTTTGGCGAACTTATCTGCGAGCCCATTGGCCCGTCTTTCCCAAACACTGCTCCTGCCCGCCTCGACATCGGCCGCCGTGGCGTGGCCGAGCGTCTTGAAGCACTCGAGATCGCTGAGAGTGAACGAGCTCCACACGGGGCCCCAAAGATGACCACGGGGGGCTCCAGGGCCCTCCGCGAACCCAGGGCCCCGAGACAGCGAATCCAGAGTGCTCTGGCAATCTATATAGCATTGAAACGGGGGAAGACCAACTTGCGTAAGCATATATACAGCATAGTCTTCCCCATCTTTGCTAGTTTGCTGCGGGGCCGCACTCAGAGGAACTGGACCATAGGCCGCCGAGAGCAACTCCCCGAACCTGTCGACCGATACGATACTCCAACCAGCCCGAGTGAGTCCATCGAGGCCCATGTATTTGGCCGACCCGTCCAGGAATAACAACCCCGTCAAACGCCCCGTCTCGGGCCTCTCGTGCCAGTGAACTGTTTGCGTGGGCTCCTCGACGTCGAAGAGCGAGCGAGGGTGAGGAAAGATGCACCTCGCGAACCTCTCCGCCATGAGCGGCCCGAACTGCTTCACTCTCTGCGCACACCTACACAAGTGAGCACTCGCATGGTCTCGCCGCCATGCTTCGTGCGCAGGGCACTCGTACTGACGGTGCCACAAAGTACCTGGGGCCCCCTTGCACACCTGACAAAGATCATCATCGTGGAGGTTGTGAGCATGAAGTCGGGCTTGGGGCCAGTGAACTCCCGAGACCAAACCTCTTAAACATCTCTGATGGTGCTTCCCCCAGGTTTCGGACTTCTCCTTGAACATCCTGGAAATGCCATCCCAGAAGATAGGGTACACAGGTGGCCCATCAAGGCCATTCTGCAAGAGAAGGGCATGCCTATCTGACGCTCGCACAGCACCTTGCCTGATCATAGACCTGACCTGCATCGGGGAGAGCCTGAGCAAGTCATGCACAACGTTCAAGTCATCTTTGATGGTGTGCTGGTCTACAAAGTCCCAGCCTATGCCCCGCAACGTCAAGAGCGCGACGTCGCTGGGGGAAGACGCTGACCTCCAGGGCTGAGCTGAATTCTGAAACTTGGCGATCGAGACCCTCATGGCATTGGCCAACACCTGAACGTGAGGGACAGCTTCCCAAACTGCAGTCGCCCACATGAAAAGCACGTGCCCCACGTAAACCACCAGAGGGTCTACCTTGACCCCAAGCCCATACGTGTACATCCTGAGCCCAACCGAAGCACCTTTAGGGAGCCTGCCTAGGGAACTGCAGCCCCGATACGGAGCCCAGCCATTTTTGTGGGGGCCACCCCAGAGACCGATGATCCCCATAGGGCCGATGCCACTGGCCCCATCCTGTGAACCATCCCGATGTCGGCTCCAGCTCCTTGTAGTATCTTGAGCCTCCTGGCCCTGCGCGACGCACCTGCAAACCTTGAGTTCTGAATACCGATCCTGCGGAGGCCTCCCAAGGTAGCGTTGGTCCCAAGATTCCTCGCCGTGTCGGTGCGGCAAGAGGTGGGGAGGGACCAGGCCTTGGACAGGTGCGCCTCAACCTCCTTCGAGCAAAGGTAGGCACACTTCTTAAACGCCACAGGGAGCTGCAGCTGCTTGAAACTCTTGATCAGAGACTCTACTCCCCCAGCCAGTTGGGCCGCCACCTGATGCTTGGGCCCGCAACACTGAACAGTGATGTCGTCCACCACATTACGCACATACAACAAGTTCCTGCTCTCACGGGCCTCCAATAGCGGTCCTAGTAGCAACATCTTGGCGAACGTCGTAGCCCCCGAACACCCAGCCACGATTGCCCCGTTCGATTCGACGACGGCCGACGAAGCTCCCCCGTAAAGAAGCACACGGTAGCCAGCATAGATGGTACAGTACGCTTTGACCAGCCTGACTGGGAAACTAAACCGTTTAGCTGCGACCAGGAGGTCCCCGTGGTTGACATTCTCATAGAACTTAGCCAAGTCCAAGAGAGCCGACGCTGATTCGAAGCCTGCTTTACGACAATGCGCCCCGAGCAAGTTGTGGACCCATCCGGCCCTCTCGCACGTCGTGTCGGGCCCTGAGCCCCAGAAAAACTCGTACACGTGGGACTTTTCCCAGGAGCGGCAATACGGCTGCCTCAATCGGCTCCAGAGCTTCGTGAAAAGGCATAGCAAACCGATCGGCCTGACCCCTCCCGTTGGTTTGTCCAAGAAAACCACATTGGTCAGGAACATCACGACGGCCCCTGGGTCGACCTCGAAGAGCGTCAAAATCTCCAGGAGCCGAAACTGGTAACTTTCGGGCAGCTGCAAAATCCACCGCGGGTTAAATCCATCCCAGCCTAGGCCCGCCGCGGGCCCGTACATCTTACAAACTCGATGTAAATCCTCCAGTCTGAGCGGGGAAAGGGCAGGCTCGTCGGCAGGAACTTCCCAGGAGCTCGGTGCGGGCCCGCGGCCAGCTCGGAACCACATCGGATGCCACGCATCGACAAGCTCTTGCACTGCGGCCTGACCAGCCACTGGAAGCCGAGGATCATCCGACGTACCTCGCGAAAAACCACACGAGACCTGCTGCTTGGAGAAGGCATGCGCCGCTTTACCACCTCCAGAGACGGCACTCTTGGCCCATTCCTTCCACTTAGCGAGCTGCGAAGCCGCGTCCAGCCTCTGGCGACGAGTGCACTCTTTGCAGATGGCCCCATTGACGACGTCGTTCCAGGAACCTTCTCCCGATGCCGCCCTAACAATGGAGTGCAACTGGGCCTTTGTGGGCCCATCTTCCGTCAGCTGGAGGTCCTCCAAAATGTCGAACAGCTTAAGCTTCCAGGATCCCAGAAGAGCTCTTCCCTTGGCACCTGGGTTCCCAGCACTGATTGCCTTTGCCTTCTTGAGCAGGGCCTCGAACGAGATCCAGCAGACAGTCTGCTTCGAAAAACGCCGGCGGTGATCTCGCTCTAGCAGCGCCACTAAGGGAACTTTGCGAGACTTGGGCCCAGCGGAGCGACCTACATACCCTTTCTGATCACTTATTCCATGAATTTCAACAAGGCGAGCTTCGGCTTCCCCGAACCACTCCCGAGCGAGCGTGTTCAAATCTGAGTTTAGAGGGTCGCTCCATTGGATGTCCCTTTCCTGCGGCAGAGGCCCCAT